AGACACAGAATTGTTACTCAGGGACACAGAATTGTTACTGAGGGACACAGAATTGTTACTCAGGGACACAGAACTATTACTCAGGGACACAGAACTGTTACTCAGGGACACAGAATGTTACTCAGGGACACAGAACTGTTACTCAGGGACAGAAACAGAATTGTTACTGAGGGACACAGAATTGTTACTCAGGGACAGACACAGAATTGTTACTGAGGGACACAGAACTGTTACTCAGGGACACAGAACTGTTACTCAGGGACACAGAACTGTTACTCAGGGACAGACACAGAATTGTTACTGAGGGACACAGAATTGTTACTCAGGGACAAACACAGAATTGTTACTGAGGGACACAGAATTGTTACTGAGGGACACAGAATTGTTACTGAGGGACACAGAATTGTTACTGAGGGACACAGAACTGTTACTAAGGGACACAGAACTGTTACTCAGGGACACAGAACTGTTACTCAGGGACAGAATCAGAATTGTTACTGAGGGACACAGAATTGTTACTGAGGGACACAGAATTGTTACTCAGGGACAGACACAGAATTGTTACTGAGGGACACAGAACTGTTACTCAGGGACACAGAATTGTTACTCAGGGACACAGAACTGTTACTCAGGGACAGACACAGAATTGTTACTGAGGGACACAGAATTGTTACTCAGGGACAGACACAGAATTGTTACTGAGGGACACAGAACTGTTACTCAGGGACACAGAACTGTTACTCAGGGACAGACACAGAATTGTTACTGAGGGACACAGAATTGTTACTCAGGGGACACAGAATTGTTACTGAGGGACACAGAACTGTTACTCTCAGGGACACAGAACTGTTACTCAGGGACAGACACAGAATTGTTACTCAGGGACACAGAATTGTTACTCAGGGACACATAATCGTTGAATTAAAGAGTATGTCAGACAACATGCAGAGGAGTGGCAGAGGAGGCAATGTTTTAGGAGCGAGCAGACATGGCAGCAGAGGAAGGGGTCGAGGCAGCACTAGTCGCAGCCAGAGGCCAGTGCTCCCGGTGTCATCCAGCGGTCGTGTCTCCACCGACAACCCTGCCGTCATCGATTGGTTGGCTCGGTCGTCTTCCTCTTCCCAGGTCACCTCTGACACCTACAGCCAACGGTCGGTGTGTACGTCAGACACAACCCGTTAGTTGGCATGGCCCGGGAGCAAGCCCACTGAAATCACGTGTCCTCTACCTGCCCCTGTCCTTTGCTGTTCCCTCACCAAGCGAAGTATCGCATGCTGTGGGCTCAGCCCCACTGTACAGTGAGGAAGAGCTAACAGAGGGCGGTCAGGAACGGGGGGAGACATCCGCCTCTTCAGCAGCCAGGCGAAGAAGTACTGGCGAGGAGAGTGGCTCGGTAGCCGGTCTAGAGAACAGGTCTGTCTCCTGACCCACACGCAGCCGAGGGGGCTAGTAGTGAGGCGGAGACCCTAATTGATGATGAGGAGGTTGATCGCACTTGGCAGCCTCGTCGTCATCAGGCAATTTCTTCCGCATCATCAGGAGAAGAGGGTGCCAGCTTGGCAGCGAGCAAAACAGTCGGTGGGTTGCCCAGGAGGCAGCAGGGTCGCAGCAGTGTCAGTGGAGGCAAACGGCCACGGAGTAGAGCACCAGCTCCACTGCAGCCTACCACCACGGCCAGTAGTGGTGCCGGTGTGCACGGAGGAAGTAGCAGTCAGCCAGTGAGGAGTAGCGGGGGCAAAGTTTCCTACTCGGCGGTGTGGCAATTTTTCGTCAAGCCGCCGCCCGAGGAAGTAAACGTAGCCGTATGTCGACTATGTGGCCAGAAAGTCAAGCGTGGCCAGGGGGCCCATGTTGGGACTACAGCGTTGCGTCAGCATATGCAGCGTCGCCATTTGGTGGCCTGGGAAAACCGTGATAAAGATACGGCGGTTCTGCCTGCCCCAGCCCCCGCTCCATCACCCGCTCCGTTACTTGCTCCGTCACCCGACGTCAATCGCCCTCTATCAGCCAGTCAAGGCTCCAACACCTCTGCTGAGGGGAGTTGTTCATCTTCCGCTCGTTCAGATGCTCCTTCTCCTGCTACTCCTCTTCACGGATTCCGTCAGCAGTCTTTTTTGGAATCCGTTTCCAAGAGACAACAGTTTGCGAGCACGCACCCGACGGTGCAAAAGCTGAACGTCCTCCTGTCCAAGTTGCTGGTGCTGCAGTCCCCTCCCTTTCCAAGTGGTGGACTCAGCACCTTTCCGAGAAATGATGGCTTGTGCCGCGCCGCGGTGGAGAGTGCCAAGCCGGCATTTCTTCGCCAAAAAGGCAGTGCCAGCCCTGCATTCACATGTAGAAGAGATGGTGGGCCAGTCTTTGAGCATGTCGGTCTCTGCCAAAGTGCACGGCAGCGCCGACGTGTGGAGCTGTAACTACGGTCAGGGACAGTACATGTCATTTACGGCCCACTGGGTGAACGTGGTGCCGGCACAGCCGCACCAGCAACTTGGACAGGTCACGCCGCTTTTGCCTCCACGTTTGCACGTCCTTGGTCCAGCAAAGATGTCCGCCTCTACCACCTCTTCTTCCGCCGTGTCCTCAGCCGCCACCCCCGTGCCAAGTCCCATTACCCGACCGGCATATCACATGTGCAGGGCGCAACGGTGTCACGCTGTGCTGCACCTGGTATGCCTTGGCGAACGTAGTCACACAGGGGAGGAACTTCTGAGTGTAATGAACAGAGAAATCGACAGATGGCTGTCTCCGCGCAAACTGAAAATCGGAACCATGTTGACCGACAACGGAAAGAACATGGTGTCTGCTCTGCGTCAAGGAAGGTTGTGCCATGCGCCATGCATGGCTCACGTGTTCAATCTGGTTGTCAAGCGGCCTAAAATCCACCATCCCACTGCAAGACATCCTTAAAATGTCACGTAAACTTTGCATGCATTTCAGCCATTCCTACACCGCAAAGCACACCCTCCTTGAGCTGCAGCGGCAGAACGGAATTCCACAGCATCGCCTGATCTGCGACGTTGCAACAAGGTGGAATTCAACCCTACACATGTTAGACCGCCTTTACGAACAGCGAAAGGCCATCACCGATTTCCTGATGTTACAAGCGGATAAAGGTACTCCCCTGTGTAACTTCGATGTCAGCCATTGGCAGCTCATGCGTGACACCTGCCGCTTGCTCAGGCCCTTTGAGGAGGCCACGCTATTCGTGAGTCGGCAGGACTATGGGATGAACGACGTCATTCCTCTGTTGCACGTCCTGGAACAAATGCTGTTAACAATGGCTGGTCAGGGTGCGGTAGACGTGGCGCACAGATCTCAACGCCACATGACCCCTGTGGGGGCAGGACAGGAAGAAAGAGGAGGAGGTAGAGGAGGACATTTGTGCTCAGGAATTATTGAGTGAAATGGGTGGTTTTTCCACTCAGCGGACAGGAGTGGAGGAGCAGGAGCATCTGGTAGAGGAGGAGGAGGGAGGAGACAGAGGACCCAGACGCACCGTGGCAGTATGCTGTGGAGATGGAGGCAGGGAGTCCCTCGCATTCCTTGGCACAAATGGCCCATAGCATGCTCGGTTGCTTGCGTAGCGACAGCCGAATAATAACCATCAGACAGAGGGATGACTTTTGGCTGTCCACCTTGTTGGACCCTCGCTACCGTTCCAAAATGGTGGCCTTTTTCACACCTGCTGAGAGGGAGGCCAAAATAACGTACTATAAAAACCACCTATGTAGTCAGTTGGTCTCTGCCTTTCTGCGCCAACGTCCATCCTCAGACACTGTGGGCCCTGTGCGCTCGCGTTCCGCTGCCATGGCAGCAGGGGAGGGGGGGGGGTGGTAGGAGCAGTGGCAGCTCCACCAGCAGCGGCTGCCTCAGTCTGCAGTCGATGATGAGTAGCTTTCTTCACCAGCGCAGTGAGGAAACTACTAACCAGCCGCAGCAGCAGCAGCAGCAGCAGCATCAGGTGGACCTGGAGCAGGAGCTCAAACAACAGGCTTGGGCCTACTTGGACAGCACCCTGCCAACCGAGGTAGACAATCCCCTTGACTACTGGGCAACGAAACTTGACCTTTGGCCCCAACTAGCTGAATTTGCCCTTGAAAGGCTGTCATGCCGGCCAGTAGCGTGGCATCGGAGCGCGTGTTTAGTGCGGCAGGAGGTATTGTAACTCCGCGGAGGACACGACTGTCCACCCAAAGTGTGGAGAGACTCACGTTTGTGAAAATGAATCAGGCGTGGATTAGTCTGGATTTCAAACCACCAGTTCCTGACACAACTGACTAAATCCGCCATGAATCATGCCCCTGCCATGTGCCACTTTCAGGTCTCCTCACACTGCTGCTGTGTTCCATTTTGTCATAGGGTGCTGGCAGATTACGGGCCTCCCATAGCTGCTGCCAGGCCCCTAATCTGCCATGGGCCCCCGTACCGCCTCCTCATGCTGCTGCCAGGTCCACAGTGTGTCATGCCATGTGCCACTGCTGTCTCATCGGTCCATGTGCCACTTTCAGGTCTCCTCACACTGCTGGTGTGTTCCATTTTGTCATAGGGTGCTGGCAGATTACGGGCCTCCCATAGCTGCTGCCAGGCCCCTAATCTGCCATGGGCCCCTGTACCGCCTCCTCATGCTGCTGCCAGGTCCACAGTGTGTCATGCCATGTGCCACTGTACAGTGTCATTGCTGCTGTCTCCATCGCCATTTTGTCACTGGGCTGGCAGATTCCGGGCACTCCTGGTGTGTTCATTTTTTGCTGCTGATTAGGCCCCCCAATCTGCCATGGCCCCTAATCTGCCATGGGCCCCCGTACCCCTCCTCATCTGCTGCCCCAGGTCCACAGTGTCTCATGGGTCCCTGTACCGGCCTCCCATTGCTGCTGTCTCCATCGCCAACTCTGCCATGTGCCACTTTCAGGTCTCCTCACACTGCTGGTGTGTTCCATTTTGTCATAGGGTGCTGGCAGATTACGGGCCTCCCATAGCTGCTGCCAGGCCCCTAATCTGCCATGGGCCCCTGTACCGCCTCCTCATGCTGCTGCCAGGTCCAGAGTGCTGCCATGGGGGTCCCTGTACGGCCTCCCATTGCTGCTGTCTCCATCGCCACACTCTGCCATGTGCCACTTTCAGGTCTCCTCACACTGCTGCTGTGTTCCATTTTTTGTCATAGGGTGCTGGCAGATTACGGGCCTCCCATTGCTGCTGCCAGGCCCCTAATCTGCCATGGGCCCCCGTGTACCGCCTCCTCATGCTGCTGCCAGGTCCACAGTGTCTCATGGGTCCCTGTACGGCCTCCCATTGCTGCTGTCTCCATCGCCACACTCTCTGCCATGTGCCACTTTCAGGTCTCTCACACACTGCTGCTGTGTTCCATTTTGTCATAGGGTGCTGGCAGATTACGGGCCTCCCATAGCTGCTGCCAGGCCCCTAATCTGCCATGGGCCCCTGTACCGCCTCCTCATGCTGCTGCCAGGTCCACATGGGTCCCTGTACGGCCTCCCATTGCTGCTGTCTCCATCGCCACTGCCATGTGCCACTTTCAGGTCTCCTCACACTGCTGCTGGGTGTTCCATTTTGTCATAGGGTGCTGGCAGATTACGGGCCTCCCATTGCTGCTGCCAGGCCCCTAATCTGCCATGGGCCCCTGTACCGCCTCCTCATGCTGCTGCCAGGTCCACAGTGTGTCATGGGTCCCTGTACGGCCTCCCATTGCTGCTGTCTCCATCGCCACACTCTGCCATGTGCCACTTTCAGGTCTCCTCACACTGCTGGTGGGTTCCATTTTGTCATAGGTGCTGGCAGATTACGGGCCTCCCATAGCTGCTGCCAGGCCCCTAATCTGCCATGGGCCCCCTGTACCGCCTCCTCATGCTGCTGCCAGGTCCACAGTGTCTCATGGGTCCCTGTACGGCCTCCCATTGCTGCTGTCTCCATCGCCACACTCTGCCATGTGTGCCACTTTCAGGTCTCCTCACACACTGCTGCTGGGTTCCATTTTGTCATAGGTTGCTGGCAGATTACGGGCCTCCCATAGCTGCTGCCAGGCCCTAATCTGCCATGGGCCCCTGTACCGCCTCCTCATGCTGCTGCCAGGTCCACAGTGTGTCATGGGTCCCTGTACGGCCTCCCATTGCTGCTGTCTCCATCGCCACACTCTGCCATGTGCCACTTTCAGGTCTCCTCACACTGCTGCTGGGTTCCATTTTGTCATATAGGATGCTGGCAGATTACGGGCCTCCCATAGCTGCTGCCAGGGCCCCTAATCTGCCATGGGCCCTGTACCCGCCTCCTCATGCTGCTGCCAGGTCCACAGTGTGTCATGGGTCCCTGTACGGCCTCCCATTGCTGCTGTCTCCATCGCCACACTCTGCCATGTGCCACTTTCAGGTCTCCTCACACTGCTGCTGGGTTCCATTTTGTCATAGGATGCTGGCACTGCATTACGGGCCTCCCATAGCTGCTGCCAGGCCCCTAATCTGCCATGGGCCCCTGTACCGCCTCCTCATGCTGCTGCCAGGTCCACAGTGTCTCATGGGTCCCTGTACGGCCTCCCATTGCTGCTGTCTCCATCGCCACACTCTGCCATGTGCCACTTTCAGGTCAGGTCTCCTCACACTGCCTGCTGGTTCCATTTTGTCATAGGGTGCTGGCAGATTACGGGCCTCCCATTGCTGCTGCCAGGCCCCTAATCTGCCATGGGCCCCTGTACCGCCTCCTCATGCTGCTGCCAGGTCCACAGTGTCTCATGGGTCCCTGTACCGCCTCCCATTGCTGCTGTCTCCATCGCCACACTCTGCCATGTGCCACTTTCAGGTCTCCTCACACTGCTGCTGGGTTCCATTTTGTCATAGGGTGCTGGCAGATTACGGGCCTCCCATAGCTGCTGCCAGGCCCCTAATCTGCCATGGGCCCCTGTACCGCCTCCTCATGCTGCCAGGTCCACAGTGTCTCATGGGTCCCTGTACGGCCTCCCATTGCTGCTGTCTCCATCGCCACACTCTGCCATGTGCCACTTTCAGGTCTCCTCACACTCTGCTGGTGTTCCATTTTTCATAGGGTGCTGGCAGATTACGGGCCTCCCATAGCTGCTGCCAGGCCCCTAATCTGCCATGGGCCCCTGTACCGCCATGCTGCTGCCCAGGTCCACCTCATGGGTCCCTGTACATGCTGCTGCCAGGTCCACAGTGTCTCATGGGTCCCTGTACGGCCTCCCATTGCTGCTGTCTCCATCGCCACACTCTGCCATGTGCCACTTTCAGGTCTCCTCACACACTGCTGCTGGGTTCCATTTTGTCATAGGATGCTGGCAGATTACGGGCCTCCCATAGCTGCTGCCAGGCCCCTAATCTGCCATGGCCCCTGTACCGCCTCCTCATGCTGCTGCCAGGTCCACAGTGTCTCATGGGTCCCTGTACGGCCTCCCATTGCTGCTGTCTCCATCGCCACACTCTGCCATGTGCCACTTTCAGGTCTCCTCACACTGCTGGTGTTTCCATTTTGTCATAGGTGCTGGCAGATTACGGGCGTCTCCCATAGCTGCTGCCAGGCCCCTAATCTGCCATGGGCCCCTGTACCGCCTCCTCATGCTGCTGCCAGGTCCAGAGTCTCTCATGGGTCCCTGTGCTGCCACTCTGTCCAGAGTGTGCATTTTTCCCTGTACGGCTGGTTGCTGCTGCATGTCATAGTCTGGCAGATTACGGGCCTCCCATAGCTGCTGCCATGCCCCTAATCTGCCATGGGCCCCTATACCGCCTCCTCATGCTGCTGCCAGGTCCAGAGTCTCTCATGGGTCCTGTACGGCCTCCCATTGCTGCTGTCTCCATCGCCACACTCTGCCATGTGCCACTTTCAGGTCTCCTCACACACTGCTGGTGTGTTTAATTTTTTGACATAGGGTGCTGGCAGATTACGGCCTCCCATTGCTGCTGCCAGGCCCCTAATCTGCTGCCATGGGCCCCTGTACCGCCTCCTCATGCTGCTGCCAGTCCACAGTGTCTGTCATGGGTCCCTGTACGGCCTCATTGCTGCAGGTCTCCATCGCCACACTCTGCCATGTGCCACTTTCAGGTGTCCTCACACTGCTTTTTTTTTTTGTCATAGGGTGCTGCTGCAGATTTACGGGCCTCCCATAGCTGCTGCCAGGCCCCTAATCTGCCATGGGCCCCTGTACCGCCTCCTCATGCTGCTGCCAGGTCCACCAGAGTGTGTCTGGTCATGGGGGGTCCCTGTACGGCCTCCCATTGCTGCTGTCTCCATCGCCCACACTCTGCCATGTGCCACTTTCAGGTCTCCTCACACTGCTGGTGTGTGTTTTTTTTTGACATAGGGTGCTGGCAGATTACGGGCCTCCCATAGCTGCTGCCAGGCCCCTAATCTGCCATGGGCCCCTATACCGCCTCCTCATGCTGCTGCCAGGTCCAGAGTCTGTCATGGGTCCCTGTTGGGTCCCTGTACCCTCCCATTGCTGCTGTCTCCATCGCCACACTCTGCCATGTGCCACTTTCAGGTCTCCTCACACTGCTGGGTGTTCCATTTTTTTTGTCATAGGGTGCTGGCAGATTACGGGCCTCCCATAGCTGCTGCCAGGCCCCTAATCTGCCATGGGCCCCCCTGCTACCCGCCTCCTCATGCTGCTGCCAAGGTCCAGAGTCTCTCATGGGTCCCTGTACGGCCCCCATTGCTGCTGTCTCCATCGCCACACTCTGCCATGTGCCACTTTCAGGTCTCCTCACACTCTGCTGGGTTCCATTTTTTGTCATAGGGTGCTGGCAGATTACGGGCCTCCCATAGCTGCTGCCAGGCCCGGCTAATCTGCCATGGGCCCCTGTACCGCCTCCTCCTCATGCTGCTGCCAGGTCTGTCATGGGTCCTGTAGGCCTCCATTGCTGCTGTCTCCATCGCCACACTCTGCCATGTGCCACTTTCAGGTCTCCTCACACTGCTGGTGTGTTCCATTTTTTTGTCATAGGGTGCTGGCAGATTACGGGCCTCCCATTGCTGCTGCCAGCCCCTAATCTGCCATGGGCCCCTACGTACCCCCCCCCCAAACCTCCTCATGCTGCTGCCAGGTCCAGAGTCTGTCATGGGTCCCTGTACGGTGAGAGACCCATTGCTGCTGTCTCCCATCGCCACACTAAATGCCATGGCCATGTGCCACTTTCAGGTCTCACTCACACACTGCTGGTGTGTAGAATTTTTTGACACATAGGGTGCTGGCAGCCATTACGGGCCTCCCATAGCTGCTGCCAGGCCCCCTAATCTTGCCATGGGCCCCAGATTACCGCCTCCTCATGCTGCTGCCAGGTCCAGAGGGGTGTCATGGGTCCCTGTACGGCCTCCCATTGTAGCTGTCTCCATCGCCACACTCTGCCATGTGCCACTTTCAGGTCTCCTCACACTGCTGGCCGTTTCATTTTTTTGACATAGGGTGCTGGCAGATTACGGGCCTCCCTATAGCTGCTGCCAGGCCCCTAATCTGCCATGGGCCCCTGGACCGCCTTCCTCATGCTGCTGCCAGGTCCAGAGTCTCGGTGAGCATGGGTCCCTGTACGGCCCTCCCATTGCTGCTGTCCACCCATCGCCACACTACTGCCATTCCTGCCACTTTCAGGTCTCCTCACACAATGCTGGTGTGTTCCATTTTTTTCGTCATAGGGTGCTGGCAGATTACGGGGCCTCCCATAGCTGCTGCCAGGCCCCTAATCTGCCATGGGCCCCTATACCGCCTCCTCATGCTGCTGCCAAGTCCAGAGTTCCCTCTCATGGGTCCTGTACGGGACCTCCCATGTGCTGCTGTCTCCATCGCCACACTCTGCCATGTGCCACTTTCAGGTCTCCTCACACTGCTGGTGTGTCCATTTTTGTCATAGGGTGCTGGCAGATTACGGGCCTCCCATAGCTGCTGCCAGGCCCCTAATCTGCCATGGGCCCCAATATACCGCCTCCTCATGCTGCTGCCAGGTCCAGAGTCTCTCATGGGTCCCATGTATACGGCCTCCCATTGCTGCTGTCTCCATCGCCACACTCTGCCATGTGCCACTTTCAGGTCTCCCTGCACAATCACACTGCTGGTGTGTTCCATTTTTTGTCATAGGGTGCTGGCAGATTACGGGCCTCCCATAGCTTCTGCCAGGCCCCTAATCTGCCCATGGGCCCCTATACCGCCTCCTCATGCTGCTGCCATGGTCCAGAGTCTGCCTATGGTTCAACGGACTCCCATTGGCTGCTGTCTCCATGGGTCCATGGCCACCATTTCAGGTCTCCCACACCCCTGGTGTGTCCCCATGACCATTTTTTGACCCCCCCTAGGGTGCTGGCAGATTACAGTGCCTCCCATAGCTGCTTGCCAGGCCCCTAATCTTTTGCATAGGGGCCCCTATATACCGCCTCCTCATGCTGCTGCCAAGTCCAGAGTCTGTCATGGGTCCCTGTACGGCCTCCCATTGCTGCTGTCTCCACATCGCCACTACTCCCACCCCCCCCCCCCCCCCCCCCGCCATGTGCCACTTTCAGGTCTCCTCACACTGCTGGTGTGTTTGATTTTGTTGACATAGGGTGCTGGCAGATTACGGGCCTTACCATAGACTGCTGCCAGGCCCCTAATCTGCACATGGGCCCCTATTACCGCACTCTCTCACGCTGCTCTGGCCAAAGTCCAGAGAGTCTGTTTGTCGACAATGGGTCACTGTCGTGACTTCCCATTGCTCGCTGTCTTTCCTATCGGGGCCACACTCTGCCATACGTGCCACTTTACCGGTACTACCTCTCACGACACTTGGTCGGATGTTGTTAAATTTTTTGACATAGGTTCTATTGCTGGCAGATTTACGGGATCCTACTATAGCTGCTGCCAGGCCCCTGTATATGCTGCGGCATGGGCCCCTATTGATCCACCTTCTCATGCTTAGACATTTTCACACGTCCAGTAGTCTGTACATGTGGGTCCCTGTTACGGCCTCCCTATTGGCTTTGCTGTATCCATCGGCCACAGCGTCTGCATGTCACCGCACTTCAGGTCTCTCCCACACACTGCTGGTGTGTTGAATTTTTTGACTATAGGGTGATGGGAAGATTACGGACTCCAATAGCTTGCTGCAGGCCCCTAATCTGCATTGGGAACCTTGTACCGCCCTCCTCTGCTGCTCCAGGTCACAGTCTCTCATGCCATGTGCCACTTTCCGGTCTCCTCACACACTGCTGTTGTGTTCAATTTTTTTGACATTTAGGGTGCTGGCAGATTAGGGCCTCCCCATAGCTGCTGCAAGGAACCTAATCTGCCATGGGCCCCCTTTACCGCCTACCTCATGCTGCTGCCAAGTCCAGAGTCTCTCATGGGTCCCTTAAACCCCTACATTGTTAGACCGCCTTTCGGGGCAGCAAAGGGCCAAATCACAGTTTTTCCTGATTTTAAAAAGGGTTAAAAAAGGGTACTCCCTGTGTAACTTAGATGTCACCCCCAATTGGGCCCAGCTCAGGGCGTGCACCTGGGGTTTTCCCTCGGGGCCCCTTTTTGAGGAGGCCACGCTATTTTGTGAGCGGCAGGGGCAAAGGGAAAAAACGCGTCATTCCTTTTGTTGCACGTCCTGGAACAAATGGGTGTTAACAATGGGGGGTCAGAGGCTAGACGGGCACAGATCCAACGCCCACATGGCCCTGTTTGGGGGGGACAGGAAGAATGGGGAGGAGAGGAGGAATTTGGGGCTCAGGGGAAATTTTTGAGTGAAATGGGGGGGTTTTCCCCTCACGACAGGAGTGGAGGAAAACAGGAGCCGGGGGGGGGGGGGAAAAGGGAAAACCCGACGCACCGTGGCGTATGCTGTGGGAAAGGAGGCCCGGGGGAAAACCCTCGCATTCCCTTTGGGACAAATTTGGCCCCCTAGCTGGGTCGCGTAGCGACAGCGAATAATAAAACCCTCAGACAGAGGGTGACTTTTGGCTGTCCACCTTGTTGGCCCCGCTAAAACCGGGTTTTAAAAAGGTGGCCTTTTTTCCCCCAAACCCCCTTTTTTTTTTCATTTTGTCATAGGTTTCTCCAAAGGGTTTTAGGGCCCCCAAGGTGCCCCCAAGGCCCCAAAAACGGGCCCTGGGCCCCCCCTTACCGCCTGGTCACGCTGCGCCCGGGCCCCCTGTGACCCCGGGTCCCGGGGACCGCCTCCCCCTTTCTCCCAAATCTGCCCTGTGCCACTTTGAGGTCTCCTCACACTCCTGCGGGTTTTCCTTTTTTCATAGGGTTTTCTGGGGAGATTAAAGGGCCCCCCAAAAGGTTTCCTCCAGGGCCCCCAAATCGGCCCGGGCCCCCCCTTTCCGCCTGGTCACGTGTGCTGAGGCCCCCAGTGTGACCTGGGTCCCCCGTACCGCCTCCCATTGCTCCCCCCTCAACCCGTGCCACTTTGGGGGTTCCTCCCACTCCCGCGTTTTTCCATTTTTTTCCTTTGGTTTTCTGGCAAAAAAATTTAAAGGGGCCCCCCATAGGGCCGCCAGGCCCCCAAAAAAAGGGCCCTGGGCCCCCCCGTAAACCCCCTGGGGCCCCCGCTGGCTGAGCCCACAGTGTGACCTGGGTCCCTGTAACCGGGCCCCCCATTATCCCACTTTTACCATGTGCCACTTTTTAGGTCTCCTCACACTAAAATGGGGGTTTTCCCTTTTTTTCCAAAAGGTTTTTGGCAGATAAAAAGGGCCCCCCATAGGTGCCGCCAGGCCCCAAATCGGCCCTGGGCCCCCGTACCGCCCGGTCACGCGCTGCTTGGCCCACAGTGTAACCCGGGGTTCCCCCTTTTTCCGCCTCCCTTTTCTCCCCTCTACCATGTGCCACTTTCAGACTCCTCACCACTGCTGGGTTGTGTTCCATTTTTTTTCATAGGGGGCTGACAATTAAAGGGGGCCCCCCATTGCTTGCTGCCAGGCCGGGAATCTGCCATGGGGGCCCCCCAAACCCCCTGGGGCACGCTGCTGCTGGGTTCCCACAGTGTGGGCTTGGGGGCCCCCGTATCGCCTCCCCATTGCTCCCAAATCGCCCTGTGCCCCCTTTTTAGGGTTTCCCCACACTTCCCGCGTTTTCCATTTTGTCATAGGTTGCTGGGAGATTAAAAGGGCCCCCCATAGGGGCTTTCCCCCCCAAATCTGCCATGGGCCCCCTACTGCCTCGTCACGCTGGGGGGCTGGGTCCACAGTGTGACATTTGGGTTTCCCCGTACCGCCCCCCATTTTTCCCATCTGCCATGTGCCACTTTTAGGGCTCCTCACACTCCCGCTGGTTTCCATTTTGTCATAGGTTGCTGTATGGCCTCCCATTGCTGCTGGGCCCCCACCGCCCCGCCCGTGGCTCCAAAAACTGGTTTTTTGGGCCCCCTGACTTTCCCCAAAAGAAATGAAGTTTTGGCGGGTGAATTTTAAGGGTCGCGGCATCATCGCATGTCATACGACTGACAGTATTAAATTTCTTCCCCACAGGGCTTTCCCAAGGGGATTTTTAAAATTAAAAAGGTACAGTGTTCTGCATAATATTAAGTCTTCTGAAACCCCAGAAACACCCTTTTTTAAGTTAAATTTTAAAAGGGGAATTTATTCGACTCGAAATCAAAAAAAATTTTTCCCCAAATTTGGCCGAATCAGTCGAAACGAACTTTTTTAATACTTCGTTTATCTCTACTTGGCCCGCATTTTAAAAAGGGGCCCTTTCCAAAGATTGCTTTTAGGAATTTAAAAGAGCACTCAAAGATATGGAGAAGACAAAAATTCGGGGGTTAAAAGGGGGAAAGCAGTTCCCCAAAAAAAGTAAGTCAACCGGAACGAAACCCCACCCAAAGGGGATAAGGGCCTTTTGGGGAAAGGGCCCCCCAA